AACCTAGAAGAGTACAAGGCTGGTTGTGCAAAAAGGCTATTTCTAAAAAAAAAAAAGGGTCAATTCCAACTTTGCTATAACAATATGGCGCTTCTGAATCAGCGACTGTAAGTATGTTTTGTTATTAGTTGAAATATTTGCTATTGACTGTTCAAATGCGGAGTTTTGCGCAGCGTAAGAGTAACGCGTGTGTGTGTGAGAGAGAGGGGAACAGGGTCACATCACAGGACAGTGAACGGTCTGTCAGAAATCATAGCACGTCAGCTGTCTTAACCGCGGCTTGTGTACTGCTTCATCACTGTGTCTGTCACGCGACTCTGTTGCCCTTTCAGGCTTGAACTGATGGTAAAACTAACGACATTATTAACTGTCTTGATATTTACTTTGAAAGCTGAAGCTGCGATTATGGTAAGAGGCGTTACATTTCCGACGCGTGCTTGTGGTGTTCGGCCAATCACAATGCACTGGGTCAGCTGGCCAATCAGAGCAGACTGCGCTTGTCAAAGGAGGGGGCTTTGTTGAAAACGACCTGTTTGAGAGAGGCGGGGCATAGAGGACTTACAATAATGTACAGTATTTGAAAAATAATGTGTTTTTTTTACATTAAAGCATGTCAACATATTCTGTTACACCAAATACACAAAATAATGATCTTTAAAAGAGCATCATATGACCCCTTTAAAATAGTGGTTCAGTGATACAGCTTGCTTTACATTAGAAGTAAACTATAGTGTGTCATCATGACAAATGTACATAAATGTATATAATACATATAAATCTGTATTTATTATGTCATCATGATGAAAATGAAATTATTTGTACATAAATGTATACAGTATGCTGTTTACATAATTGGGTAAAAAAGCAAATGTATCATGTCATTATGATGATTTATCTTTTAAATAAAAATGTACACTTAAATCTGGGGTCAGTTAGATTTTTTAATGTCGAACCCAAGGCTGCATTTAATTGATTAAAATACAGTAAAAACAGTAATATTGTGCAATAGTATTACATGCGTTACAATCAAATCAGCTGACTTCCTGTGCCATTCAGTATACATTTTTGTAATGCTTACAGAACCTGAATGATATACAATGAGGAAATAAAAGGGAAAAAGAAGAGTGAACAGAACCACAAAAAAGAGAGGGAAAAGCGCAAAAAAACAAACAAACGCAGGGTAAAGTACAGTGTATTGTTGACCTTGCATAGTTACATTCAATTTACAATACTGAGATATGATTATATCTATTTTAACATTGCTAATTCTCAGTCCAAAAATTATTTCCACATGCTCCATAAAATAGCCCCCTTTTGCTTTTTTAATTTTAAAGAAAAAGTAAGGGTTTCCATCTTACATATTTCAATTACAATTGCTTTCCATTCTTCTAGAGTGGGAGGATTAAGTTGAAGCCATTTACGAGTAATAGCCCTTTTAGCTGCAACCAGTAATATTCTCCATACGTATGTATAATTTGTTTCATGCAAATCCAGAATTCCCAAATATAGCACATGAAACTGAAATGGGATATTAATCTTGAATATGGCCTCCAATGTCCGGTGTATGTCTTTCCAAAACAAGTGTATAACTGGACATGCCCAGAATAGATGGTGGTGATTTGCTACTTCTGAATTAGTGTCTCCAACACCTAAATCCTATTTCACTATGGCACTTTTGTGCAGGGGATATAAAAAATCGAATTACATTTTTCCATGCAAATAACCTCCACTGATGTGAGCCTGTGGTTTCCCATTGGGATTTACACGTTTTTAACCAAGCCTCTTCTGTTATAATAATGTTTCCTTCCTTTTCCCATTTAATTCGGACATATGAGGTAGAATCTGATCTGTAATTTTGAAAACAATGATAAAATTTGGAGATTACCTTACTAATAGTATTAGCCCTATATGCCGACGGGAATATCTTTACTAAATCATTCTGTGCCCAATCCCCGCTCTTGTTCACTTTTGAATTAAAGTAGTGTCTTATTTGAAAGAATCTAAACAAGTCTTGATTATCCAACTTAAACTGATTTTTTAATTCTTGAAAAGTTAAGTATTATTGTTTGTAACAGAATAATATGATGTAATGCCATTCTTACTCCAATTCTTAAAAGATTCATCTAGAGTATTTGAAGTGAAATCTGTAACGTATGCACACCACCTCAATATCTTTAGAGCGTCTTTCAAATCATATTTTTTTATTACTGTGGCCCATATTTCTAGGATAGTCATTATCCATGGATATTCTTTACTTATATATTTTTTTTTTTATAAATTATCATCTGCAATTACTGCCTGAATCGGTATTTCAGGAAAAAAAAGGAGAAATCAATCTGTTTCCAGTAACTGTTTTCTATTTTAATATATTTTAAAACAATTTATACTTGTGATGGCAAAGATTGAATGAATAGAAAGATCAGTATTTTTTAGAAATATAAATATTTTCTAACATTAAAAATGCATTTACGGTTACATTTGATCAGTTTAATACATCCTTTCTGAATAAAGCTATTAATTTCTTTAAAAGACTTTTTAACTGGAGTGCATATATATATATATATATATATATATATATATATATATATATATACACACACACACACACACACACACACACTACATTTTTGTAAACTAGCTAGAAAATGCACACAAATTGTGAATGTAGTGAAACAGTTCTCAAATTTTGGAGTGGAATTTATATTGCATATCTGTATATGATTTTCTAAATATATGGTCACGTGACAAAACATCTTCTCTTGCACTCTCCTTAATGTCACCAAAAAAAAAACATTTTAAATGAATACGATGGAACACAATTTTATGCTTTGTCCTTAACACAGCGTTAGTATACATAAAGAAGAAAAAGAATACTTCACCCAGATGCCTCCAGATCTCGGAGTAACTGATTTTGGGTTGCTCCCCCGGGATCGATACCCCTTGGTGGCTGTGCTGACACTTGCCAATCCAGAAACCAGGGACAACTACAATATTGTAAGCAGCACATTTTTTTTTCTTTATCGGATTTGCTTGTTGGAAACAGATAAACTATGTTATTCTGTTGTCTTTCTAGGTGGCCAGTGTGACAGTGCTCCACGTTCCTGATGTCAAATACAGACTCTCTGTGAGAATCTTGTTTCAGTATCTTCTCACGGCACATGGGAATTTGTACGATCTGAAGGTATGAAAACGTCTTCACAACATTGTCATTTTCTACTGTTCTGGGATCAGTTTTTGTATGCGCATTTTGATCACACTTAACCTTCAACACCTAGTGTCCCTGAAGCGAAATGGGAGTGTTTAATTATACACCATTAATTGAGAGCCTTTTCTAGAGCGGGATTGTGGGCTTAAAACTATTCTTTTTCCACAGCCTCTCTTCATGTCAGCAGACAACAGCAACTTGTCTGGAACCACAGAGCCTTCAACTAGCACGCAAGGGGCGGAGCCACAGCCCGAAAGGCCAGGTGAGAAGGGGGAGGAGTCTGATGCAGAAGGGGAGTGGCCTGATACCCAAGGCAGGGACTGTGTGGTGTGTCAAAATGCACCTATAAACAGAGTGCTGTTGCCATGCAGACATGCATGCGTATGCGACGGCTGCGTGTGCCACTTCCAGCACTGTCCGATCTGCCGAGCGTTTGTCCTTGAATCTTTTGCTCTGGCTAACCGACCAGCTCACGATGAGGACTTAACAGAAGACTAAGCCTGTGTAAACTCAGTATTAAAAGCAAGCCTTTGCTGGAAATGCTAAACTCGAAAAGGAAACGTAGCATCTTCAAGATAAAGGGTTGCAGGCAGCTGACCTTTAACCCCCACGTATGGATACTTCTAGAATTATGTCAGTTTTAGGCTTTTGAAGTCGAGTGTGCTTGTAAGATTTGTTTAATATAGAGATTTTAAGTTGAATAGGATATTTATTTATTTTTGTCAATATATTGGTTTAACTAACAAATATACATTTCAGAAGGAATCATTGTGGAGTTTTGGAGAGATACAGTGGGAGGTTATCTTATTTCTTTAATCATTGACTTTAATGATGTGGAAAAGCAGGCCAGGCACACACAGTTTATATAACGGATCACACAGATTTCTAGATCCGTATCATCTTACAAGTCTACACTTGGCCAACAGGGGGCTAAACAATGCATTAACTGAATAGCTGAAGTCACTTGATGGTAGTCTTGGAAATGGATCATCAGAATGCCTTAAAATATTGATTAAAAAAAAAACTATTGCAGTAAAAAAAAAAAAGAGTGTTGTGTCCATGGACAGTACTGTTTACTGACCGAAAAACCCTCACATTTATACTTTGCACAAAAACTGTGGTTCTATACAGGCTTGTAGTCGAGTTTGGACTCCAGCTTCTTGGAGTCTGCCACCTTCCTCACAGCTTTCATGAAATCCTCCTGAGTCACGTACTCATGATCGGCACGGATGGCAAACATACCTGTTGGATAAAAAGGAGGAGAGCTCAAAATGATAAGAATTCTAGAGGCTCAAAGGTTCAAGGTTTGGCTGGTCAGTGTCATGCTATTAGACCCAAAAGCACATTTCCACTACAAAAAAAACTGACAACAAATACTGTTGTTCTTTATTACAGTGGGCAAATCTTAGAATGTTTTATGGCACATGAAGTTTATTCTACATAGATACATATACTACAGTTATTTTCATAGCCTTCAATTTACACACTGTATGGAGGGCAACATTGGACAGGATGTAGAATAGCTTTTTAAAATAAAATACTGAAAATAAATTGACAATTTTTTCTGATTAATCAAAGAATCTACAGATTAATCGATTATCAAAAGTTGCAGCCCTAATTATATTAGCATGGCACGCAATTTATAGTTTTTAAATCAACAGCACATTTTCATTTTTGGGCGAACTATTCCTTTAATGCTTCTTTGATTTGCACATTGCAATGCATGTAACATTTCTTACCAGCTTCAGTGCACACATTCCTCAAATCGGCTCCATTGAAACCGTCTGAAAGCTTGACGATGGCTTCATAATCTGGAGACGAAAGGAAATGTGATGAGAGAGGAAAAGGAGTCACAGCTGTAAAAACTAAACCAGAAAATCATAGAGGCGCACCTATCTCTCCATGCTTGGTGATGGGCCCAGAGTGGATCTTCAGGATGTCCAGTCGAGCCTGTTCATTGGGCAACTCAATGTCTGTACATTTGGAAAAAATAAGTAAATAAATAATAACTCAAGATTTCTTACCAGTCACTGAATATGTGAAGTTGGAGGATAGTGAAAGTCAAACTTACGGATCTTTCTGTCCTCTGGAGACGAAAGGAAATGTGATGAGAGAGGAAAAGGAGTCACAGCTGTAAAAACTAAACCAGAAAATCATAGAGGCGCACCTATCTCTCCATGCTTGGTGATGGGCCCAGAGTGGATCTTCAGGATGTCCAGTCGAGCCTGTTCATTGGGCAACTCAATGTCTGTACATTTGGAAAAAGTAAATAAATAATAACTCAAGATTTCTTACCAGTCACTGAATATGTGAAGTTGGAGGATAGTGAAAGTCAAACTTACGGATCTTTCTGTCTAGTCGGCCAGGACGCAGCAGGGCAGGGTCTAAAGTGTCCGGCCGGTTGGTGGCCATGATCATCTTGACTCTATGCAGAGTGTCAAATCCATCCATCTGATTCAACAGCTGACAGACAGAAATATATCTAATCAGCTTCTTTTTTTTGGATTGTACATTGATATATAGGAAGATTGGAATTAAAGCAATAAATTAAGCATTAATTGACAAGTAAAACGTTTATTAATTTTGTAAAAAAAAAAAAAAAAAAAAAAAAATGGACACGAATATTTGGGATGTTTTGAAGGGGCCAATAACACCGTCCAAATGTTCACGCAAAGAAAGAAGGCGTAATTTTTATTCTCGCTGTAGTATTGTTGTTGCCGCCGCCATGTCGTGAAGGCTCTGTGTTTTTTTATGGAGGACTTTTATGCACATTTTATGGATTTCCTGATCCTGGTAGAGTAGACTATAATGCTGGCTGTTCTGACTCAAAGACTAAGTTTTTTATATTTTATATATTTAAAGCAAGTTTTTTGGGCAGTGTAGAGTAGCGCTTTTTATTTGTAATTTCTCCGATCACAAATGCAGACATGGTTTTACGTTTACGCGGCGCGATGAAACGCAACGTGTAAAAAGACAGTACAAGTCATTTTAATCCATAATTATGTCCCCATTGGATGCAACGAATGCCTCGTTTATAATGGGTTTTCATGTTTTTGAATCATCGCTCCGGCCTGACAGGGCATCATCACAATATGGTGAGGGGCGTAACATTTCCGTCACACGCTTGAGGTATTCGGCCAATCACAATGCACTGGATAGCTGGCCAATCAGAGCACACCTTGCTTTTTCAGACCGATGAGCTTTGTAAAAATTGACGCGTTTCAGGAAGGCGGGGCATAGAGGAGAAACAATAATGTATAGTATGTGGAAAATAATGTGTTTTTTGAACCTTAAATCGCATAAACATTTCATTACACCAAATAATGTTCTTTTTAGCAACATCATATGACCCCTTTAATTTAAAGCAATAAATTAAGTAAAAAAAGTGTATTAATTTTGTGGGGAAAAAATAAAAAAAAAATTGTACACTGATATATAGGAAGATTTAAATTAAAGTAATAAATTAAGCATTAATTGACAAGTAAAATGTTTATTAATTTTGTACAAAAAAAAATATAAAAATAAAAACTGCAGTTGACAGAAATTTTAAAAAGTATTTAAAAATATTAATGAATGAAATTTAATAAAACAAAAACTTTATAATTTCACAAGCTTCATTCACAAGGTTAGTTACAAACCCCCTCCATACCTCCATCAGTGTCCTCTGGATCTCTCGATCTGCAGAGGTTCCTTCAGAAAACCGACGTCCACCTTCAAAGACAAAGTATGTGTGGAATCCATTTAAGAACTGAATTTCCATTACGCCTTATAAGAATGGCTTGGACTGCAGTGTGCAGAAGAGCATTACCGATAGCATCGATCTCATCCATGAAGATAATGCAGGGCTGATGGTCTCTGGCGTAGTTGAACATCTCTCTGATGAGTCGGGCACTCTCACCAATGTACTTGTCAACAATGGAGCTGGACACAACCTGATGAACAACATGTTTTATTCACCACTATGACCTTATAGCATAACGGTTGTCCTGTGTCAAATGTATCTGCGTTAAACAGTACGACCCGAGGCAAACTGTTTGTTTATAGCATCTAAATCAACATACCTTCAGGAAATTGCAGTCCAGCTGACTGGCCACAGCTCGGGCAAGAAGAGTCTTTCCAGTGCCTTTAAAAATGCAATACTTTGTGTGAAAACATACCTTTTCACATACATCTCAGTAATTAACTGAAGTAAAAGCATAATAGGGCGACTGACCTGGAGGTCCGTACAGCAGGCAGCCCTTAGGAGGAATAATGCCCACCCTCTGGAACAGCTCAGGATTGGTCAGAGGCAGCTCAATTACCTGCACAAGAGAATTAATCATTCATAATCATTAAGACAGTTCAATGAGTTCAGTAAAGCTCAAGCTGCATTTACACTGCAAGGTGCAATGCACAGATCCAGTCTGTAAACACATATTCTGTTGGTTTACATTCAGACATGCATGACTATTTAAAATAAAGTGTGTATGAATTGGCACACATAAATACAAATTATATATACAGTGGGGCAAATAAGTATTTGATACACTGCCGATTTTTCAAGTTTTCCCACTTACAAAGAATGGAGAGATCTGTAATTTTCATCGTAGGTACACCTCTGGATTTTTTTTTTTTGATTCTGTCTCTCACAGTTGAGGTGTACCTACGATGAAAATTACAGATCTCTCCATTCTTTGTAAGTGGGAAAACTTGAAAAATCAGCAGTGTATCAAATACTTATTTGCCCCACTGTATATATACTGATTTATTCATTAATCTTGTAATACATTTTTTTTTTTTAAACAAATCATAAGAATATTTTTACAACTCTTTTGCTTTAGACCATCTACAAACGTTAAATCTTAAAATAAAATGTTAGGGTTAACACTGCATCTTTCTAGCGAAAAAGAAATGCAGCGATTGTTCATTTAGTTATTTTCAAAGCTTCAATGTACTGTCAAAAAACCTTCATTATTGTTTAATTCTAACAAATAAGTTCTTATTAAAAACTAACCAAAATGTAAAATATTTTGCTTATAATTTCTGCACAGGAGAGACTTGGGTGTCGTTTCCAAACAAAAGGAAATATATCGGTATCGGCATCGGCCAAAATGTGTAGAAAAATATCGGCATATCGGATATCGGCAAAAATCCAATATCGTGCATCCCTAGCTTGAGCGCTAGTGTGTTTCGTCAGCTGACGGTAGTGTTATGTTAGTGTATTTCTGACCTCTCTCAGCTCACGGATCTGCTCAGACAATCCACCGATCTCAGAGTAAGAAACGCTGCCAGGATCTTCATGAGACATGTTGTACACTAGAGGATCCACTTCACGAGGCAAATACCTTTATAAAAAAAAAAAACAAGAGGTTCTCATAAAGCATACCAGCTGAATATTAAAGGCCATTTCAGATACACACACATACCTTGCCCGGCAGCTAAGAACACAAGCAAAGCTACACATACTTGACTGGACTTCTTAGTTCTCCTCACCTCATGATAGTGAGAGTCGTCATGTCCAGAGCAACTCTAGTGCCTGGTTTAAGCTTGGTTTTATCCAGCTGAAACAACAATACATGGCCAGATAAGACACAGGACTTGTTAATCACACAAAAATATTAATTATAAATTACAACCGATGTGCTCACCTGTCTGCGACATCCGACCACATAACGTGGGCCATTAGTTGCTTTGACAATAACTACAAAAGAAGAAATTATTTAGCAACTGAGCAGCAGACTAAGACTATAAACTACACCAGAATAAAGGTGAGCTGGACTTACATTTCTCCTCTGTCAGTTGTTTCAGCACCTCACCAACAATCTAAAAAGGCAAGGGAACGATCAGACCATGAGAAACGCAGATATCCGGCTCGTTTATTGCGGAGATAATAAAACACAGGTGTATATTTAGCTGAGATCTTACCTGTCCCACACTCTGTAAAGCTTTCAGATCGTTCTCAGACTTCTCATACTGTTTAGTGAGCTCCTTCAGCTGTTCTCTCACTGCAGCAGAGATGTCAGGCCATCGTGAAGCGATATACAGTGTTTATTTACATGTAC